AAATCAAAAGTACAGAATCCGTTTTGGAAACAGTGTCTATTTATCACTGTGAAGCGCGTCCGCTGACAGTCCCGCACCTCTTTATGACTGGTTTGAGTATTGCACATGAAGGGGCGACGGCACCTGTACTAAAAAGGAAGGGGAATCGCGCCATTAAACAAAGTGAAAGCACATTACAGACTCGTATTTAAGAGCAAGGGGCAGCCCCTAGTGGTTCGGCGGTGTGGGTTGCGTAAAGGCTCAGCTCTTTAAATGTTTGTTTGCCACCCTTCAGAGAAATACAGGAAAATAGCTTTATCGGATGATATCGGGATAGAAATGTAAAATACGGGAGAATCCCGGGAAAAATGGGAAGGTTAACAGGTATGAATTAGGATGGTCTTCTTAGCATTTATGTCTAGGGTAACAAAATTGACAGGGATGCAAATGAGAATGCCTCTCACTAGCTGCCCCGGTAGACCACGGAGAAGTGATATCATCGTTCACTCCTTAACAAAAACACAAGTCTGTTCCTTCTGGAATAGATAAATAAACACTTTTGTTTTTCTTTTTGAGAAAACTTTGTCTTTAAGTCTTTAGATTCATTTCAGATAAACAGTCCAATACTCTGCCATGTGCATGCATGCTGATTAGATATACAGTCCAATGTGCCAAAATATGTCAGCGTGGCCACTGTTTTCAAACACAGCTTAACACTCGTTGGATTAGTGCCTCAGCCAACAACCATGGAGATTTGTTCTTAATTCTAAAATTAGCTGTCACATCATGTATATCATCTTCCAAATGGCAGATTTTAAGGAAACAGTACTTGGAATACTACATTACTTGTTCATCGACTCTCTGTGGTCATTAAAAATCCCATGGCACTTCTCATAAAAAGTAGGGGTGTAACCCTGGTGTCCTGGCCAAAGTCCCTCAATCTGCCCTTACTATCATGGCCTCCCAATCATCCCCATCCACTGAATTGGCTCTATCACTGTCTCTCCACTCCACCTATATCTGGTGTGTGGTGAGTGCACTGGCGCTGTTGTCTTGTGGCTGCCGTCGCATCATCCAAGTGGATGCTGCACACTAGTGGATGTGTGGAGAGACCCCCCTCATGATTGTAAAGTGCTTTGGGTGTATGGCCATACACAATAAATGCGCTATTTAAATACACACATTACATTACATCAAAATCAGTGATGTCTGGCCAAAGGAAAAAAAAGGCTCTTTTTAAAAATATATTATTGTTATGTAGAGTTAGATTTTCTAAGTACTCCTATTTTTTTTTTTCTGTTTCTAATTTAGTTTCGTAGGTCTCCAACAATTTGTTTACATACATTCAAGTTCAAAAACACTTTAGTTTTTGCGTAATCAGTGATCATTAAAATTAACAAACGATTATTGTTTGGAAGCAATTTGTAACATTTTAATAATATTTTGGCAAATTGAACCAAATGAACGAAATGACTCGAAAAAAGATTTGTTCATCTCGATGAATGAGACTCAAATATCCGAGTCAATAAAATGATCCGAACTTCCCATCACTACCAAAAAGGTCTATTGATTAAAAGGGTTATTGACAATCAAGCAACCATTGAGTAATCGTTTAATCATATTTTTTTATTGTGCTAGTTGAAAGTCTCTTCACTTTCTAATGCCAATGATTAGTTTAAGTTATCCTAAAGCATTTATATGCATTTTTATATTCTAGGTGTAGCCGTAGGAGTTAAACATGTTCAGGGCCAAACTAGTTTTTTTTTTTTTTTTTAATCATTGACAAAATTATTATTTTTATTACATAATAAAAATAATAATTTTGTCGATGATTGAAAAAAACAGATTTGTATATCTGCAGACCATGTACAAATAGACTAATATTTCATGGTCACGCTCATGTGCAGTGTCTCGACATGTCCAAAAATAAATAAATAAATAAAAAGGATCAAAACTTAAAGCCGAATCAATGTCAAAGTTGCTTTTGCATGCTGGGGTCAACTACAGGAGTCAAATGGTCTGAAGGACGATGTCATGGTGGCAGAATTTCTAGTAATAAGTATTTCTAGTAATAAGTATTACTTATTATTTTCTTTCCTAGCCGCATATATTTTAAGTACAGTACTGTACATTGTGTTCCTTTAAAAATTAGCGTAACTTAGGGCTGGGCCATTTAATCAAGCAATTTTCTTGTGCATTTTCTCAATAAAACCTATGCTAGTAAACCTCCAGCACGTGTTTAGATGGAACAGAATTTACTGCACAGCCATAGTCCACTTATAAACTGAATTCGACTTCAGTATAATCGGTTGATAATGACATTGAGATATTTATTCTGTGATAATGAATAGCTGCTTGCGTCACTTATTAATGAACTACAGCTGCACTAAAAGCTGCATGTGAAATTACAACATATGTTTTTACTCCAAACTCACATCGTAACTGCAGTAAAATGTAGAAATTTATTATTTATTTTTATAAATACATTTATTTGCTGTACACTTTGTTCTTTAGAATTTTGTAGACTTTTATGAATAAACAGCCACACTCAGGGTAGCCCCGGGATCCTCTAAATGAAATTCAAGGCTCTTTAAGAACTTTTTAATACCATTTCAAATGAAATTCAATGCCAACTTCGTACCCATTCCAAAAGAAGTTTGAGGGAAAAAATGTAAAATCTGTATAAATTTTGAACCCTAGAAATAATTTTGTACAAGTGACTACTTGAATTAAATTAAACATTTTATTTAAATGGTCAGTTATATTTAGTACATACGCAACAGTGTTACACACATTTGATTTTTAATAAACAAATAAATTTGAACTTAATGTTGAACACTATAGTCTTCGCAGCTCTGCTGCCTTGGCTGCAATATTTCTCCCAGACTCTCAAGTCCTGTCAACTTCTGCTTGTGTTTTTTTTCTCAATGCGTTTGCCCTAGAGTTGGTGTTGAGCCACAGTTAGACAGGATGTTCCTTGGCTGTGGTGGAAATACTTCTAATGTAGAAATTAAAGGTGTGAACTTAAACTGGTCTCACGGTTCGGTTACGATCATCATGCCATCGATTCGGTTTAATTCGATATCTCAGTGCATACGCAGCTTTATATTGGGGTAGCTGTCTGTATAAACACACACACTCCTGTAACAAGCTGTCTGTATAAACACACACACACATACACAAAGCACCAAGCAAGCGACACACAGCATTACGCTCTCTCTCATTCACACACATAAACACACATACATACACACACACGCGCGCGCGCCTGCTCGCTCGCTCTTTATACGGAAATGTATTCCCGCGCCGCAAGAAATCTGGTCGGGTCCCGCGGCAGACCTCTATCCAGAAGTATTGCTGTAACAGCCGAGAGGAAAAGTCACGCCAGCATGTCAAATGAGCCACAGTGAGAGAGAAAGTCCTCTCCTCAGTCATGAGTTTGATAAGTGGGATAAAAATCCAGTTGAAAACCTACATGCAGAGTTCTGTAGGAGCAACTTCAATATTTACTAGGGGAAAAAAATGAGTGTGTCCTTCTAGCGGCCCAATACATTAATGCCTGTCACAAAAAGAGAGAGCAGACCAATAAAAACATCAGTGATGCGCCTGCACACACACACGCACGCACGCGCACACACACACCTAGATGATTATAAATGAATCATTGTAAATATACTGATTATTATTGTTTTTATTACTGTTTTATCCTTAAAATGTAGTTTATTCTGATCTATTTTTGTATTGATTTGTATAAATAATT